CAAAAAAAAAAAAAAAAAAATTAGCCAGGCATGGTGGCACATGCCTGTGGTTCTGCTACTTGGAAAGCTGAGGTGGAAGAATCACTTAAGACCAGCAGGTTGAGGCTGCAGTGGCCGTGAGCATGCCATTGCACTCCAGCCTGAGTGAGAGTGAGACTCCAACTCAACAAAAAAGAATGAGGGTTGAGAGGGTAAGCCCACAGAGACACATGCTGGGTGCCTGCATTGCTGAAGCCAGCGCTCTTCTGAGTCCTTTTTCCCCGTGACCCTACTCTGTGGAGAACAGGAACTCTGTCCAGTGACAAGGGCTGCTATGGTTTGACTGTGTCTCCACAAAGCTCATGTATTGGAAACCTGACCCCTAATGCAGAGGTGCTGGGAGGTGGGGTGTCATGGGAGGGTCTGGATCATGGGGCACCATCCTCATGAATGATTAATACCATTATAACGTGAGTGGGTTCCTTTGTTTTTTGAGTCTGTCACCCAGGCTGGAGTGCAGTGGCACACTCATAGGCACTGCAGCTTCAACGCCTCAACCTGCTGGGCTCAGGTGATTCTTCTGACTCAGCCTTCCAAGTAGATGGAACTACAGGCATACACCACCATGCCCAGCTAATTTTTTTTTTTTTTTTTTTGTAGATTCAAGGTCTTGTCATATTACCCAGGCTGGTCTCAAACCCGTGGGCTCTGGCAATCCTCTCACCTCTGCCTTCCAAAGTCCTGGGATTACAGGCATGAGTCACCACGCCCGGCTGGGAGTGGGTTCCTTATAAAGTAACAGGTTTGGTCCACTCTTCTCTCTTTCCCTCTCTTTGCCCCTCTGCAATGAATAACACAGCAAGAAGGTACTCACCAAATGCTAGCTCTTTGGTATTGAACTTTCCAGTCTCTAGAGCTGAGTCAATACACTTCTCCCATTATAAATTACCCAGTCTGTGGTATTCTTTTTAATATTTATATATTATTTATTTTTGCATTGGAGTCTCACTCTGTCGCCCAGACCGGAGTGCAGTGGCACGCTCCCACCCACTGCAGTCTCGACCTGCTAGGCTTCAGCAATCCTTTCGCCTCAGTCTTCCAAGTAGCTGGAACTATAGGTGTGTGCTTACACACCTGGCTAATTTTTGATTTATTGTAGAGAGGAGGTCTCATCAAGTTGCCCGGGTGGGTCTCGAACCTGTGGGCTCAGGCAATCCACTTGCCTTGGCCTCCCAAAGTGCTGGGATTACAGGCTGAGCCACCAAGCCTGGCCTATTTAATATTTTTTATAAAGACAGGGTCTTGCTATGTTGCCTACGCTGGTCTCTACCTCCTTGGCTCAAGTGATCCTCCCACCTTGGTCTCCCAGAGTGCTGGGATTATAGGTGTGAGCCACTGCACCCGGTCTAGTCTGTGGTATTCAGTTATAGCAGCACAACACAAACTCACAAACTAAGTTAGAAGCCCCTGCACCAAGGGGCTTCTATCTTACCCCAAGGACTTCCTGAGGGGATCTACTCTAGCTGCAACCACAAGTTGCCCCTGGTGTACCCAGGCAGCTACTTCTCACAGTATAAGGTCAAGCCCTCATAAGGTGAGGGAATCTGTCATCCCATCAATGCTCATGAAACATCCCCCTCCCAACCACTCTACTTCAAGGGCCCAGAGCATTTCTCCAGCAGTAATACTCACCATTCCACCATGTAGGGCAACTTCTCCTTGGCGGTTCGATGGGGGTCAATCTCAATTGGGTAGTAGTGGTGGAGGAGCACAGACAGCTGGCATGTCCAAGTGGGGAGAAAAGTCATTAGTCCACACCAAGTCTTCCCCAGCAAAGTTCTACAGCTCAGCATGAGAAAAAGATTACCTAGAAGGCCAGGCACAGTGGCTCATGCTTGTAATTCCAGCACTTTGAGAGGCCCAGGTGGGAGGATGGCTTGTGCCAAGGAGTTTGAGATCAGCCTAGGCAACACAGTGAGATCTTGTCTTTATAAAAAAAGTCAAATTGGCTGGGCTCAGTGGCTCACCCTGTAATCCCAGCACTTTGGGAAAGCCGAAGAAAGTGGATTGCTTGAGCCTGCAGGTTCGAGACCAGCCCAGGTAACTTGGCGAGACCTCGTCTCTACAATAAATCAAAAATTAGCCGGGCGTGGTAGCGCATGCCTGGCTGTGGCAAAAGGATCGCCGGAGCCCAGCAGGTTGATGCTGGGGTAGCCATGAGGGTGGCACTGTACTCCAGCCTGGGCAGCAGAGTGAGACTTCAATTAAAAAAAAAAAGAATCAAATTAGCCAGGATAGTGGTGCATGCCTACAGTCCCAGTTACTTGGGAGGCTGAGGTGGGAAGAATGCCTGAGCCCAAGAGGTCGAAGCTGCAGTGAGCTGTGATCATGCCACTGCATTCCAGCCTAGGCCACAGAGTGAAACCCCAACTCAAAAAAAGAAAAAGAAGGCCGGGCTTGGTGGCTTAGCCTATCATCCTCAGCACTTTGGGAGGCCGAGGTGAGTGGATTGGCTAAGCCTGTGGGTTCAAGACCCACCCGGGCAACTTGGAGAGACCTCATCTCTACAATAAATCAAAAATTAGCCAGGTGTGGTAGCGCGCGCTTGTAGTTCCGGCTACTTGGAAGGCCGAGGTGGAAGGATCGCTGGGGCCCAGCAGGTCAAGGCTGCGGCGGGTGGGAGCGTGCCACTGCACGCTCAGTCTGGGCGACAGAATAAGATTCCAACTCAAAAAAAAAAAAGAAAATCACCTAGAAGATGCAACTTCACAAAAGAGAGTACTCATTTTCCTGAGGTGTTTATTTGGGGACACGTCATTTACAAGATTCAAGGTTCTTTTCTCTTGTCGTCTTCCAGGATAACTGGTCCACATGATCACTGTTACCGCTTCGGTCAAGTCCAGGGAGTGCCTGGATTCATCAAGCCGGCCCTTCCTTAGTGCTCACTCTGAGAGAGTGAAGTCTCAGGGTCAGCACATAAGGAGCCGGATTAGAGGAGCACCGAGATGTTGTTGCGGCTGTTAATTAGCTCAGTTATCAGGGCTTAACCAGTAAGAACTGATTTAATGCTATTTCCCAAAATGTGGAACATGTCCCCAGGTGGGAGGCAAGATGATTTCAGGGGAAATACAGGAAAATACATTTTTTTTTTTAGTTGGAGTCTTACTCTATCGTGAGTGCAGCAGCACACTCATGGCTACCGCAGCCTCCACCTGCTAGGCTTAGACAATTCTTCCGCCTCAGCCTTCCAAGTAGCTAGAACTACAGGTGCACACTACCACGCCTGGCTTATTTTTTTATTTATTGTAAAGACGAGGTCTCGCCAAGTTGCCCAGGCTGGTCTTGAACTCCTGAGCTCAGGCAATCCTCTTGCCTCTGCCACCCAAAGTGCTGGGATGACAGATGTGAGACACCATGCCCAGCAGGAAACACATTTCATTTCAGTAGTTCTGGGTTCATTTTAATAGACGTCAGAAAAAGCACATCAACCTCATGCTTTCATTAAGACTATTTCATTCATTCATTCATTTAGTGTCAGAATCTCACTCTGTTGCCCAGGCTGGAGTGCAGTGGCACGCTCACGGCCACCATAGCCTTGACCTGCTGGGCTCAGGTGATTCTTTTGCCTCAGTCTTCCAAGTTGCTGGAACCATAGGTGCTTGCCACTGCACCTGGCTAATTTTATGATTTATTGTAGAGATGAGGTCTCACCAAGTTGCCCATGCTGGTCTTTGAACCCCTGAGCTCAGGCAATCCTCTTGCCTCGGCCTCCCAAAGTGCTAGGATTACAGGCTTGAGCCACTGTGCCTGATCCAGAATATAGTTTTTATTTTTTTTATTTTTTTATTTTTGAGTTGGAGTCTCACTCTGTCACCCAGACTGGAGTGCAGTGGCTGCTTCTGGCCACGGCAGTCACGACATGCTGGGCTCCAGCAATCCTTCCGCCTCAGCCTTCCAAGTAGCTGGAACTACAGGCATGTGCTACCATGCTCAGCTAATTTTTTTTATTTTTATTGTAGAGATGAGGTCTTGTCAAGTTGCCCAGGCGGGTCTTGAACCCACGGGCTCAGGCAATCCACTCATCTCAGCCTCCCAAAGCGCGGGATTACAGACTGAGCCATCGAGCCCGACTGTAGAATATAGTTTTTAAAAAAGAAAAAAGATTTCATACATAAACTTTGTCCTCACCCCTCGCTAAATCCAGCACAAACAAGAATCTGGGTTTTCTCTAGCGTCCTCGACCTTGAAAGCATCCAAACTACCATGTGTTGGTGGATACAGCTTCTGGAAGTTCCTAAGATTAGGGGTGTAAAGAACTAAAGAAATGACTTGCCAAAGGCTGTCAGTACTGGAACCAGAACCCACTGTGAACTAAAAGTGGTGTCCCTAGAGTGATAGGTTTTACAAATATAAGAGCTATTTACAATTCACCATCCATTTTTTTTATTTTTTGAGTTGGAGTCTCACTCTGTCGCCCAGACTGGAGTGCAGTGGCTGCTTCCGGTCACTGCAGCCTCGACCTGCTGGGCTCCGGCGATCCTTCCGCCTCAACCTTCCAAGTAGCTGGAACTACAGGCGCGTGCTACCATGCCCGGCTTATTTTTTTTTATTTATTGTGGAGATGAGGTCTCACCAAGTTGCCCAGGCAGGTCTCGAACCCGCGGGCTCAGGCAATCCACTCACCTCAGCCTCCCAAAGGAGTGGGATTACAGGTTGAGCCACCGAGCCCGGCACACTGTCCATTTTAATTTGGGGGTATGGGAGGAACAGGATCTCACTCTGTTGTTCAGGCTGGAGTGCAGTGGTGCGATCACAGCTCAACGTAGCCTCAAACTCCTAGGCTCAAGTGAGCCTCCTGCTTCAGCCTTCTGAGTCATCCCAGCTGGGACTACAGATGTGCATCACCATGCCTGCCTAATTTTTTGTAGATATGGGGGGGGGGGTCTCGCTATGTTGCCTAGACTGGCCTCAAACTCCTGGCCTCATGTGGTCCTCCCACCTTGGCCTCCCAAAGTGCTGGGACTGTAGGCATGCATGACCACTACTGCCTGATTATTAAAAATTTTATTTTTGTAGAGATGGGATCTGTCTATGTTGCCCAGGCTAGACTCAAACTCCTGGCCTCAAGCGATCCTCCTGCTTTGGACTCCTAAAGCGCTGGGATCACAGGCATGAGTAACTGCACCTGGTCCCACTGCCCACTCATTTTTAATAACGAGTAGTCATGACAGCATACTGGAAGAGCTGAGCAACAACAGAACAACGGACCAGTGAGCATGCAACTTAGTGAATAACGAAGGGGAACTGATGGAACAGATATTCTGCGAAGGTGCTTGACCACCTGTGGGGCAAAGCGCAGCTACACTTGGCTGTGCTTGCAAAGAGGGTCCCGATAGGACAAGCATGAGTGGAGTGAAGGAACGGCCAAAGCTATAGGGTAAGATGACGGCGTCCGCACTCATCTTATGGAAATGGGAGCTGTCGAGCATTGACACCAACTCAGAAGGCTTTCTTTCTTTCTTTTTTTTTGAGTAGGAGTGTCCAGGCTGGAATGCAGTGACATGCTCATGGCCAACACAGCCTCCACCTGCTGGGCTCAGGCGATCCTTCCACCTCAGCCTTCCAAGTAGCTGGAACTACAGGCACACGTCACCACATCTAGCTAATTTTTATTTATTGTAGAGACAAGGGCTCGCCAAGTTGCCCAGGTTGGTCTTGAACCCCTGGACTCAGGCAATCCTCTTGCCTTGGTCTTCCAAAGTGCTGGGATTACAGGCTTGAGCCACTGTGCCAAGCAGCTTTTTTTTTTTTTTTTGAGTCAGTCTCACTCTGTTCCCCCAGGCTAGAGTGTAGTGGCATGCTGCATATCAATACCAATGTCTTCGATGATTTGAAGAAATAAATTTTCCTGTTTCAAAATAATAATAATCATACTGATAATAATAATATACCTGGAAGGCTGAGGTAGAAGGATCGCCTGAGCCCAGCAGGTCGAGGCTGCGGAGGTCATGAGCATGCCACTGCACTCTAGTCTGGGTGACAGAGTAAGAGTCCAACTCAAAAAAAAAAATATATATATATAGATATATATCTATATATCTACATATATATGATAATAATATTTCTATCTACCTTGTAGAGTTGTAGAAGGGTTAAATAATACAATGCTCAAGAGTCTTGTAAGTTTTATTGTTAATAGTAAGTATAATGTTCACATTTCAACCATCAATAATCACGCATATGGGCCAATTGGGAAACATTGTCCTAATGTATTAAGATTTGATGTAGCAGCTCACGCCTGTAATCTCAGCACTTTGGGAGGCCAAAGCAGGAGGACTGCTTGAGGCTAGGAGTTCGAGACCAGCCTGGGTAACACAGTGAGACACACGTTTCTACAAAAAAATTTAAAAACTAGCCAGGCATGGTGGTGCATGCCTGTAGTCCCAACTATTCAAGAAGCTGAGGCATAGCCGGGCTTGGTGGCTCAGCCTGTAATCCCGCACCTTTGGGAGGCTGAGGTGAGTGGATTGCCTGAGCCTGTGAGTTCAAGACGAGCCCGGGCAACTTGGCAAGACCTCATCTCTACAACAAATCAAAAATTAGCTGGGCGTGGTAGCACATACCTGAAGTTCCAGTTACTTGGAAGGCTGAGGAGGAAGGATCACCAGAGCCCAGCAGGTCGACGCTGGGGTGGCTGTGAGAGTGCCACTGCACTCTAGCCTGGGCGACAGAGACTCCTACTAAAAAACAAAAACAAAAAAAACCCACCTGAGCATAACAATTTTTTAAAAAATAGTTTTCTAAAGTGTCTATCCTGAAATCTTTGGTTCTAACCAGGAACATTGGGAGGAGCACAAGACAGCTATTTCTAAACAAAGAAGGAGCATAACCCACCTCTTTTCGACCTTCCTCACTGATGACTGTGCTGTCATCCAGAATATCTGGAAAAACACAAAACTCCTTTTATTTGCCCCATAGATGCCACCAGTTTATCAAATCCAACAAGGCAAGCTAGTATGTGACTTACTGTAAGAAGAAGGGCATCGCTTTCCATTATATGAAAACCTGCTCAAGGTCATGTCAAAATCAGAAATCACCTATAAGGCAGAAGAGAGGTGATGCCTATAGAGTCACCTGACGGTGTGGCCTTAGCTGGGGTGATTAGGGAAGTGAAAAGCACAGCTGGAGGCAAAGTCCAGGGGAGTTAGTGAGGGATGGAGTGAACCGGGGAGAAAGTGAGCCGAGTCAGTACGAGTTGACTCGGGAAAATGCAGTGGGGCAGGAAGGCTGAAGCCTCAGGACCCCTCTGAGTCTTTCTACAGCTCCCATCTCAACGCCATGGGGTCCTTCTACCGGGTCTCCACCTTCACGGCCCATCTCCACTCTTCAGCGTCCCTGGGAGCCCCCTGGCCTGGGGAAGTGTGGAGGCCAAGGCCCCGGGTCTCGAGTGGGGTGCTTTCTGTCTAATCAGGGAAGAGACCCAAGAGCCTATTGAGAAATTTGGAATCTAGGTTGTCAGGACAGGTGGGCTCTCCCCCAGGGCCAAACAGGCCAACCCATCTGCTCGCCTTCAGGCCCGGGGCCAGTTCCTGCGGCTCGGGGCTTGAGGGGGCCTGCAGCAAAGCCAAGTGGAAAGGCCCCGCGCGCAGGAAGGCTCCCCGCCGCCCGGCCCACCCTTGCCCCGCGGTACCTGCAGCCGGTCTCCCCCGCCCCGGCGGAGGGCGCCCACGATCTCCTGCACCCGCTGAGGCTGTCGCATCAGGACCGTCGCCTTCATCAGGGGGTTCACCTGTCCCGAGACCCGAGAGAAGCGCTGACCCCGGCGCCGCGCTGCGCCCAAGGGGACCCGGAGTTCGCTCGGGCGCCCTTGCGAGGCGGGGCCGGGGGGCGGGCGGGGGCGGGTATTGGCCTGGGTGGCGCGGCGGGGTCCGGGTGGCTCTCTCGGGGCCTCGGAGCGCCCCGGAAGTCGGGGCCCGCCCCACGCCGGACGCTTCCCCCTGCCTCACCTCTTCTGCCATCGCGCTTTGGACCCTGCCGGCGGCGCCGGGGACGACCCACTGCGCAGGCGTCGCCTCCCGTCGGGGGCGGGACTGGGGCGGGGCGATAAGGGGCGGGGCTGGGGCGGGGCGATAAGGGGCGGGACAACCTGGGGGCGGGCCCGGGGGCCAGGGCGCGGGACTGGAGCGCGGGAGCCGGGGCGCGGGACGAGGAGAGAATTGAGGGGCTCGGGAATGAGGGCAGCCGGGGTGGGTTTGCGTTCGACAGAGAAATTGGTGGAGGGTTCTGTTGCAATGAGGGGAGGTTCGGGGGTGGGTGGGTTCCTGTCACTCTTTCTGGAGCAAAAATTCTGGCGAGAGTGATTATTTCTAGGCTTAATTTTTGAATGGCAAAAACACCTCGGCCGGCGGTTTTACACTTGTAATCCCAGCAAAGCTTTGGGTGGCCGAGGAGAGAGGATTATTTGAGGCCAGGAGTTCTAGACCGACCTGTGCAATACAAAGAGGTCCTAACTCTATGCAAAAACAATTATTTTTAAATTAGCCGGGCGGCCCCGGGCGCAGTGGCTCACACCTGTAATACCAACACACTGGGAGGCAGAGGTGGGAGGATTGCTTGAGGCCAGGAGTTCAAGACCAGCCTGGGCAACATAGCAAGACCTCGTCTTTACAGAGATAATAATAATTTATTTATTTATTTAATTTAATTTATTTATTTATTTATTTTTGAGTTAGAGTCTCACTCTGTCTCCCAGACTGGAGTGCAGTGGCCGCTCCCGGCCACCGCAGCCTCGACCTGCTGGGCTCCGGCGATCCTTCCACCTCAGCCTTCCAAGTAGCTGGAATTACAGACGTGCGCTACCACACCCAGCTAATTCTTTGATTTATTGTAGAGATGAGGTCTCGCCAAGTTGCCTAGGCGGGTCTCGAATCCACGGGCTCAGGCAATCCACTCACCTCAACCTCCCAAAGGTGCGGGATTATAGGCTGAGCCACCAAGCCCAGCTAGAAATAATAATTTTTTAAAAATTAGCCAGGCTTGTTGGGATGTGTCTGTAGTCCCAGCTACAGGGAGACTGAAGGGGTTGGATCGTCTGAGACCAGGAGGTTGAGCCTGCAGTGAGCTATGATCACACCACTGCACTCTGGCCTAGGCGACAGAGATCCCATCTCTAAAAAAAAGGAAAAAAACGGCCGGGCTCGGTGGCTCAGCCTGTAATCCCAGCACTTTGGGAGGCCGAGGTGAGTGGATTGTCTGAGCCCGCGGGTTTGAGACCTGCCTGGACAACTTGGCGAGACCTCATCTCTACAATAAATAAAAAATTAAGCCGGGCTCGGTGGTTCAGCCTGTAATCCCGCTCTTTGGGAGGCTGAGGTGAGTGGATTGCCTGAGCCCGCGGGGTTCGAGACCCACCCGGGCAACTTGGTAAGACCTCATCTCTACAATAAATCAAACAAAAAAAACAAAAAATTAGCCAGGCGTGGTAGCGTGCGCCTGTAGTTCAAGCTACCTGGAAGGCTGAGGCGGAAGGATCGCCGGAGCCCAGCAGGTTGAAGCTGCAGTGGCCGGGAGCAGCCGCTGCACTCCAGTCCGCGTGACAGAGTGAGACTCCAACTCAAAAAGAAAAAAAAAAAGAAAAAATCCACTGAATGGGAGAGGTATGAAGGAACCATAAAGTGAATTCTATTTAACTACCAGAAGGTGCTCCCTCAACTTAGCCCACTCCTCATCCCAAAAGAAACTGAGTGACTAAGGCACGGGGTGGGGGGAAGACCCTGGACAGCTGGGCAAGGATGAAATGTAATCTGCTTTACTTCTGCCTCTTCTGACTTGGGCTTCCTAGAGTTCTGTGTCTGAGGAGCTGAGTTTGAAGCCACGGAAGGTGGGTGGATGTCGCAGGGGTAGGGACTGGAGAGCCTGCAATGGGCAGCGGGTACCAGACTCAACAAACACATTTACATGGTGGTGGGGCTGGTCACAGTTCCGTTCTGGGCTCAACGACATGGAAGGAGGCATGGGGTAATCTTCAGCCTGAGTGGGGGAAGGGACTAGGAAGGGGACAGGCACAGGAGGGAGTTCCAGAACCTCAGAGCACAATCCAGAGTGATCTCACTGTAGGCCGGGATTCTGGAATCTGGGCTGCCCGACAGGCCCTGTTTGAAAGATGTAGTAGGGAAAAGGAGCGACAGCTGACTAAAGGACCCCCCACGACCCTCCCCGACACCCTAGGAGAGCAGCCTCTTTCTGCTGGTCCCAGGGTGCCATGGAGATGGAAAGCACGGCGGCCTCCACGCGTTTCCACCAGCCTCACATGGAGAGGAAGATGAGTGCGATGACCTGTGAGATCTTCAATGAGCTTCGGCTGGAAGGCAAGCTCTGCGACGTGGTCATCAAGGTCAATGGCTTTGAGTTCAATGCCCACAAGAACATCCTGTGTAGCTGCAGTTCCTACTTTAGGTATAACAGGGTTGTCAAATGAGCCAAAGGGAGGACGGGGCACCCTGTGAGGCTGCTGGATACATTTCCAGGTTCCCACCACAGTCCCTTAAGTTTAGGGACACTGTCACAGCTCTGGGTTCTTTTGTCTTCTGAAGAGCACAACTAGGGTTGCGGCCTCTTTTCTCTGATTTTTTATTTTTATTTTTTTGAGTTGGAGTCTCACTCTGTTGTCCAGGCTAGAGTGCAGTGGCACACTCACTGCCACCTCAGCACCGACCTGCCGAGCCGAGCTCCGGGAATCCTTCCACCTCAGCCTTCCAAGTAGCTGGAACTACAGGCGCGCGCTACCATGCCTGGCTCATTTTTTTATTGTAGAGACGGGGGTCTTGCCAAGTTGCTCGGGCTGGTCTCGAACCCACAGACTCAGACAATCCACTCACCTCAGTCTCCCAAAGTGCTGGGATTACAGGCTGAGCCACAGAGCCCAGCCTGATTTTTGTTTTTATTTTTTTGAGTTGGAGTCTCTGTTGCCCAGGCTGGAGTGCAGTGGCACACTCACGACCACTGCAGCCTCAACCCGCTGGACTCAGGTGATCCTTCTACCTCAACCTTCCAAGTAGCTGGAACTACAGGCACGTGCCACCACGCCTGGCTAATTTTTTGATTTTTTGTAGAGATGAGGTCTCACCAAATTGTCTAGGCTGGTTTCAAACCTGTGGGCTCAGGCAATCCTCTCACCTCGGCCTCCCAAAGTGCTGGGATTATAGATGTGAGCCACCTTGATTTTTTTCCCAACCATTTACAAATATAAAAAACATGCTTAGCCGGGCTTGGTGGCTCAGCCTGTAGTCTCACACTTTGGGAGGCCGAGGTGAATGAATTGCCTGAGCCCGCGGGTTCGAGACCCTCTTGGGCAACTTGGCGAGACCTCATCTCTGCAATAAAAAAACTAGCCGGGCGTGGTAGCGCGTGCCTGTAGCTCCACCTACTTGGAAGACTGAGGCAGAAGGATCGCTGGAGCCCAGCAGGTCGAGGCTGCTATGGCCGGCCGGGAGTGTGCCACTACACTCCAGTCTGGGTGACAGAGTGCGACTCCAACTCAAAAAAACAACAACAAAAACATGCTTAATTTGTGAGCAGTATGGAAACAAGAGGTGGGCTGAACTTGGCCCAGAGGTGTAGGTTCCCAGACTCCTGCTCGAGTCTTTGATTTTCATCCAAATCAACATGTGGGAAGGTTGGACATCCCTCCTGGATTTCAAATGACAGTGTTGCTTCAGCCACCTCCTGAATCTGTCCCAATGGAGACCATTCTTCTTTTTTCTCTCTCTCTTTATATGGAGATGAGGTCTTGCTATGTTGCCCAGGCTGATCTCAAACTCCTAGACTCAAGCAATCTTCTCACCTTGTCCTCCCAAAGTGCTTGGAATCATAAGCCATCACGCCTTGCCTCCTAGTAGAGACCATTGCAAATAGGGTGATGAAGTATCAAGGACTGGAGGGATGGGAAAGGGGATGAGGAAAAAAAAACCCAGGAAATATTTATCAGAAGAAAAAGGGAGTTTCGGTCCAAATCACTGTGACCCAGGAAGTGGAAGGCTATTTTGTTCATGAACTGAAAATGTTTGAGTAATCAGTTCCAATGAAGATGTAATACATGGGGCCCATTTGTTAGAAATTCTCATTCAGCTAGCCCCTGAGCAGGGCCCTCAAAAAGACCAGATAGTAAATGTTTTAGGCTTAGCAAATCACACAGTCTCTGTAGCAACTAGCCAATTCGGTCTAGTTTCTTTGTTTTGTTTTTGAGTTGGGGGTCTCACTCTGCTGCATAGGCTTGTATGCAGTAGCACAATCACAGCTACCACAGCCTTTACCTCTTGGATTCAGGTGATCCTTTTGCTTCAGCCTTCTGAGAAGGGGTTTGCCACCATGCCCAGCTAATTTTGTTTTTTTGTAGAGAAGAGGTCTCGCTGTGTTGCCCAGGCTGGTCTCTCGAACTCCTAGGCTCAAGCAATCCTCCTGTCTTGGCCTCCCAAAGTGCTAGGGTTACAGATGTGAGCACCGCACCTGGCCTGCCAATTGTCTTCATACTGCAAAGGCAGCCACAGACTAAACAAATGGATAGGGCTGTGTTCCAATAAAGTTATGCATGGACACTGAAATTGGGATTTATTATGATTTTCAGGTGCCACAAAACCTTCTTTTGATTTTTTCTCCCCAACCATTTACAAATGTAAAATACATGCTTAATTTGTGAGCAGTATGAAAACAAGGTGGCCCAGAGGTGCAGGTTCGCAGACCCCTGCTCGAGAGGAAGAATTTGACCTCTAAGTCTATGTTCCCTTAAACCTCTTGGAAAAAGGAAGCAAATCGATTAGGGCAGGGACTCTGTCTCATTCAACACATAGAAATGCACCTAACTACAACAGCAGGAGGCCAGTACATAGTTGCAGCATGATAGTCATTTATTCATCTAGTAACTATTTATTGGATAGCTATTTTGTGACAGCCACTATTCTGGGGACTGGAAAGCAGTGAATAACATCAGCATTCCTGTTCCTGTGACATTTGCTCTCTTGTAGGGG